TTTCTGTTGATAGCATGGAAGATGTACTGACACGCTGATGAGCAGACTGCAAAGCTGCCACCTCATACACAAGGAGGAAAATGTGACTCATTGACACTCAGTTTCTCAGTAAGACACATTTACACACACCCTCACAGCCACCTTCACGTGCTGCATACATGCACAACGCTAAATGCTAGCCATGTCCAGCAGACAGATGGAAAGTGCTTATTCTTCATTTTATTTCTTTTAAACCCATCACCCTAAAGTTGCCATAAAAGTGGAGGACTAAAAGCAGCAGGTATTTCTGAAAGAAAACCAATCAAAAATCTTCAGTCTTCTAACTTTACTTCAAAGCAAACATGAGTATGTTTACGTGATGTAAAAAAAAGAAAAGTCAATTTATGGTGTTAATTATGCATCAAAGATTGTATTTCTTGTCTTCTGGTGTGTTTCTAAGTGTCGTCATTCACCTGGTATTCTAATGATCAACATGAAAGACACAGACAGAGGTCAAATTCTTCACCTTAGTTTAACTCTCACCTTACAGAATTATAAAATCTGTTATCCCCTCTGCGGGCTTGAATTGGTTTTGGAGATCCCCGTAGATTATTTACATTTTTGTACACATTTATCAGTAAGGAAAACTCCATGGTAACTGTTAAAGGTGGGGGGGGATTCGATACAGCATAGAATGGCTATATTTTGCACGTCGCATTGCATGTACATCGTGTCATGCCCGCCACGTATCGCTATTTCTATTATATCAGTAGCGAATATGCTTTTTGAATTTTCAGTTGCTGTTGAAAGTGAAATGAATCCTCGAAACGTTTTTTCAGTCACTTATTTCGCCCCTTTAATAATAATACTAATCGTTGGGAAGCCTGATTAGTCACCTTTACAACGAGGTATAACTTGTACGGATCATGCATTCGTGGAATGAGCAACAAAGCTTAACGTGTGGGTAGCAACCTAATTTATTTTCTTTCTTTTTTTTTTTTTGCCAAAATCCCCTTCAATGCTCTTCTTGTGGTATTCACTCTGAGTGTTTCCCCTAGGTTTACAGCGTTGTGTTCACGCCAACACGAACACTTGAAGGAATCTTGGTGTTCATGTGTAACTTTTAATGACAGCTGTCCTTTTCTATCGGAAAGGTTTCCTTAAATGACTTCTTTCCCTGATTACGGACTCTATCCACTATCCTATCTCTACAATAAAGGCACAAAAACAAATCTTTAAATAAATACCCCCTAATATAATGGTAGGGGAAACACTGCACTCTTGGTGTTTTGAGGAGTTTACTAACAGTTCAGATAGAGAGTTGCATGCTTCCTTTTTACAGGGTTTTACTTTCATCACTGTGTTTGTCAGTCTGTCAGTCGGCTTGACTCCCATTGTATAAAAATGAATGAAATGAAGGAAGTGAGATGAACAGACTTTTGAACAGAGATTTGTTTTCTGCTTTTGATTCGGACATAACACTCCGGGATTTCTCGATAACGATGGCTGTCCACATTGTGTAACTGTGCTAGTGCTCGTGCATGAACCGTACCATGTCGAAGCGCACCTATTCCTAGCGTGCCAGGGCCGAAGGAAGTGTATCGTGCTTGAGCAGCGGATTGGAGCGCTCACTAGTCAAACGAACTGGACTTTAGGGGTGAAGCGTGCTCAGGTACGGTACAGATTGCCTAGTGTAAAGGAGGGGCTATCATGCTTAAGCACCGTACGGGGACAACTTTGCCCAGTGTGAGTGCGCCCTAATTCAGCGGCATAATCAAACTGTTAATGGAGCTCAACACTGAGTTTGTGTGCTGGATAAATATGATTGTCTATGAGAAAATGTGCTCTTTATATCTGCAGGGTCCACTGTGTAACGTTCTTTTATGGCGTGAATCCAATCCATGCATTAACTGCAAAATAAAAGATTGCTGCTGATGTTTCTGACGATGACCCGTCTGTTGAATAGCAAAGTAAGGAGTGCAGAACTGCTGGACTTCAATCATTTTTAGAAGCTTGATAGGTTTTAATTTGTGGAATGCGAAGGGTTTTCTTCTACGTTCATGAGTAATGACTAGGGATGTAAACGATTCACTCAACGCACGATACGATAAGATTCACGATTTATTTCACAAAAAAAATGAGACTGAAGACAAAGTATGAGATGACTGAAAAAGATTCCTTTCATTTTTGTCATGAAAACACTAATGCGCATTGTAATCTCTTTGGCTCCTGCACTCGTTTGGGGGGGGGGCGAGACCCAGACCCACTTGTTGGTATGGTTTGGCCTCCGCAGCTGCCATGGTAACGCCTGCCTGTTACAACCAACGCCTCTGCTCTACAGCTGCTGATGCTCACGATATTACTGCGATTCATTTTTTTTCAGAGCTCCGATGTGAACCATGACTCCTTTTGAATCGATTTTTTAACTGCCTCACGATTCATCTTTACATCCCTAATAATGACATCTGAATAACTCAGTATGCGCTACCAGATGTTCTGACTTTTATTGTCTTCTGATGAAGTTTGCATGTTGTGCTTTTATACACTGAGGAATAATATTCAAGAGTTTGAGGTTGACTGTACTATATGTGTACGTCACTGCTTTACCATCATAATAAATAGGTTGACCAGAAAACCTGAGCTGTGATATATGACACGTTGTCTTTATGTGGTGTTGGAGGTGGTTTCTCTGCAATCTGCTGTCTATGACTAAGAGTTTCAGTTCTGACTCAAATCAGTTTTCTGATACATAAGGTGTTCAGCTGGCTGAATTAAACCTAAAGTTTAAGTGAATAATTCACTTTTTCTTTTTTCAAACAAAATAGACATTTGTGTTTGAAAAGTAAGCTGATCTTTTTGAATGTGTCTTTCTCTCAGAGTTTCCTTTTGTAATAGTTCGGTTAAACAGCAGAATAGGTTGATCTGAAAACTCAGCGGAAAGATGTTCTGCCTTTCTTCTGTGTCACGCAGGGTGAAGCTGTAAAACCACGAAACAGGCAGCACACACATTGTGGGTTTCCAAAGTATCTTTCCAAGCAGGAGAACGAAACCCCGAAAAGTTCCCAATAACTCAAAGTTTTGTTTTCCCTTAGTGAACATTTTAAAAGTCTTATCTTTTACGGTCTTATTTAAGTGTCCCCCCCCCCCCCCAAATTTTCCTTGGTTTGAAGTTTATCCTTTTCCACTGTTGCTTGACAAAAGCTGCCACATGTTTTGCTCATGGTCGATTAATGTAGACTCTCTGTAATTAAAAACAAAGAGGACCCTCTGGACCTATGACTTTGCTGTTTGAAGAGTGACGCCTGCCTCTGGGGTTTCTTTGATCCCTTCAGTTTAGCATTTAGATAAAAACTGTATCTCAGGTGCTAGACACATATCAGTGGAAGAGAAGTCCAAACATCAATAATAAGACCCTAATACAGATTTTACAAGCCGTCTATTAGACACAAAGCTAATGGCAAGAAAGGTAATGATTCAGAATGGGTCCAAATAACGTCGTCCTCCCCCTCCAGGCTGTGATTGGGAGGCCTCTGGTTTCTTTTGGCCAACAGTTATTCACTTAGTAGCTGCTACCTAGCTAACGTTATTTAGTGAAAGTGGTCGTGAGCTGTGTGAAACAGGAGAGTCATTCATTTATTGCAGAGAACAAAATACATGTTGTTTTGGCAACAAACTTTCCCCCGTTATATCAAAGCCTCACATTGACTGAAATCTGCCTTGAGCTGTTCAGTGAACCATCCTGAGCTGCACACATGATGCCTGAAACTCTTCCCGTAATTATATGTTCATTAATATTTTATTACTGTTCTCTACACTTGTGAATTTATTGCTGTTTTGTCAGACAGTGACGTCTGTATCACTACTAAATATACAACTCATTATCTGTTCACAGCTGCAGGATGAGTGAGATTACTGAGATAGTTGTGTGGTCATCCTCTGAGCACTCTGTTAAACCACCACCAAATCATGCTGTCCATTACATTCAGTTTAAATTGTTGATGCATGCGTACAATGTCTACACGAATATAAAAATACACCAACGCGTTCTGTCACCTTCCTCTGCCTCACACTGTCAAAAGCCAAAGTGTCAAGTATGTGTTTATGTGCGTGTTTAGGTGCACCGCTGTTTGCAGCCGTGTTTACTCAGTGTGTTTGTGGTTAGTAACCAACCCACTCATGTTTTTCTTCTCACTTTTTGTCTTTGCAGGAAGTTCGGGGAGCGCCCTCAGCCACAGCGCCTAACAAGGTGAGTTCACATAAACTACTACACTCAGCAGATTCTTCCCTCAACACCTTGTTTTACTGCCGTTGTGGCATTTGTATGGTTACCTGTTACGAGACCATACACCATGTTGTGTATACGCTGATTCCAACAAATCCACAACAAATGTGAGCAAAAAGTACCTTTTGAGAACACTACAAACCTCTTAAAGCTTCCTTTTTTTTTTTAACCTAAGCTTTTGGAAGTAAATATCAACTTTGTGTGAATTAGAAAAGGACTATGTGAAGCATAGTCAATATAAAAGGACGTATAAGTTTTCATACAAATGATCATTTGGTTTGGTGTTCACTACACATCAAAATATATCCGCCTATTAAAAAAAAAAAAAAAAAAAAAAAAAAAACTTTTCAGGTGAGGGTTTTTTAAAAAAAGTAGCCATGCAGATTAGAGTCATATAAATACAGGATATTGAAAGCAATGAAAGAGGAGTAAATGTCATCAATTACCTGTTTGTCTGCCAGTGTAGGTAATTCATCAGCTGTGATGGTAATATACTTTTACTATGGAGGGTTTGCACTAGCAGTTATTCAAAATAACTCTGAAGGCAGCTTTCTTCAACAAATGATATTTGTTCATTATTTTACCCTTTCAACTAAGACAGTTTCTTTTTCTGCATTATAGGATCTGTAAAAAAATATCTCTATATATAGTAAAACAACATGTATGCCTTCTGGTATATCTTTAAAAGGCCAATATCGGGCTACTGACACATCAGTCAGTCTTTAAGCTGCAATATGAAGTCATTTGGTTATAGTGGTTATAATATTCATATACCAAGCTGGATATGAAGCTCAGGATGCCATGCAAGATTGAAAAAGGTTTGAACATTTTTAGTGAAATTAAAACACATTTTTCCTACAGTCCAAAAATCTGCGATCAGCCAAATCAGCCCAATAATATTGCCTGACTGATATTAGTCAAGTTTCTACAAGTAATCAGAAAGACAGGCATTTTGTAATGACAACAGAAGATAATATTAGTCACTTTTCTGCATGTTGTTGCCATAGCAACCATAAAAACAGTATGTTTGTGTCGACTTTCTCCATCCAGAGATGTTATCTGATTACCCCTGCTGTATAACACCTTTTTTGTTCCGCTTTTGACTGTTTACTTGTAATCTGCAACTCAACTCTGAAGTTGTGTTACACGTGCTTCAGCGTGCCTTGTGTTGAAATGAAAAACATGCCTCACAGTTATTTAAAGAGAAGCAAACCGGGAAAGCGATGATTCACCTTTTTCTGAGGACTTGCTGTCTTAAGTTGCACTCTGTATGCTCCGCTGTGTGCTCCGCTGCGCTGCAAGTTTTTCATTATCCTGCTCCTCTTATGTGCGTTCCAACTCATTTGGAGCAACGTTTCGGGTGAACACATAATGTTGATGGATGTTGTGGCTTCTGGAGGTTTTGGTGTGTATATGTATGTGTGTGCGCACTTGTTTGCTTGTCGTTGTTTCTTCTTTCTTTTCCTTCTTCAAGGCACTGGTATTTCTGTGTGTGTGTGCGTGCTCGTCTTTTGCGCGTGGTGCTCAGCAGGGGAAAAATGAGGGGTTGTATACTGCTTGGAACGGCCAAGCATGGTTTAGGGGGAAAAAAAAGGGGGCCCCAGCACCTTTTGATGTGTCCCCCTCTTCATTCATGTGCTGCCAGTCCGCTGGCATCTGTTTGTACATTGGATTCAGTGGCCAGAAATATGATGGACACAAAACAGTCTTTACCCGGCAGGCGCGAAAGGCTCAAATCACAACTGCTCTGCCATTTTTTTTTTTTGATGTGATATATTCTTTGTTTTGTGGCTCTCTGTCCTTATGTCTTCACACACCCACTTGTCCCCCCCCCCTTGTTTCTGCAAAAACCACCTCACAATTTTCTGTCAGGCAGTAAACACAGGCAGCTAAAAGGGCTTTTTAAATTTTTTTTTTAGGGCAGCTTAAGCTCCGGGTCCTGCAGGGCCGCCCTGTCAGGAAGGCTACTCGATTGGAATTACAATACATGACACACATACACTAGAAATGCACACACACACATACACTTTACACACAGACAGAACACATGAACGTGCAGGCTGCTTCTTCTTTATCAGAATTGCTGGATTAAGATTGAAATGAAGCCTGTATGCTGCAGTTGCAATATTACAAATTCCATTTTATGTTTGAGTTATAGAGTCCTGCTGGTTTTTCCCCCTTTAATTTTTTGGGTGATATGCGGTTGATTGACAAGTGAATGAATTGTCTGCACTGTCACAAAATTAGCTTCTTTTTTTTATTACCAAGTCATAGACAGTTGTTTTCTTTACTGGTGTTGAAACTGAACACAAAATACAACCCCTCCCCCCCGCCCCCCCCGCCCCAAAATGAAGACAACACACACGTTTAGTCACTGTGACAGAATACAGTGCTATTTGTTTCAAATACTGATTTTAAAACCCAGAGATCTTTTACAAGATGCTGCACGATCCTGTTTGCTCTAAGCCGTACTTTTTGAGGCTTACATGAACGCCTGGAGGTCACACATTAATCACCGCACATGCTCTTCCTGTCAGTGAGTCACTTCTACATTCATAAACGGAAGAATGGATTTCTTTTTTTTAAAAGGGACGGAGAGCAGCAGCCATAAACAGTTGATTTTTAACTGTGTGTAATCTGCCTTTTTGTGATTCACACGGGCGCACACTAATTGCAGTCTGATCATCTTAATTGAGCTCTTTCACTGTGCACGTGTGTGTGTGTGTATCAACATGCTCCACTGTGTTCTTGTGTGTGTGTGTGTGTGTGTGTGTGTGTGTGTGTGTGTGTGTGTGTGTGTGTGTTAACAGGGGGTCTTGTGACGGCCCCCGCTCTGCTGTAGACGCTGTGGCAGATGTACAGGACAGATGCCTGTCTGCTCGGCTGCATCTGTAGCTTGGCTTAACCTACCCCCTCTGCATACACACACACACACACACACACACACACACACACACACACATGCCGACCCCCGTAGTGCCTGCTGTTGAATATGTGTCTCTTTTTTTATGAATCTGTCTGGCTCGTTTTTTTTCTCACTTGTCACGCATTTTCTTTTTTCAATGTCTCTGGTATCTTTATTCCTGTTTCTTCTTCCTGTAGCTTACTCACTTGACACCTCTGTTGCCGCTTCCTCCTCTTTACACTCTACTTTAGCACGTTTCTGAACCTTAATAAAACACACAAAATAAAAGTCAAACCCGTTGCTAAGGCGTCACTTGTTCATGTTCACTTTTTTGCTGTGTTTCGATGCACACATGTCCTGAATAACCAACTTTCTTTGTTTTGCACGGTAGCAGTTTAAGTCCCTTGTGTGCAATTTTTTTTTTTATACGCGTTGATCTGGTTTTGTGTGTGTGAGTGTGTTACGATTGATTTGCCCATTACCCCCACTTCCTGACTGATGAAATCTGATGAAACAGGGGATTGATTTCCACCACTTTTTGATCCTGCTTCTGTTTGCATTTGAGCGTTGTCCGTCCTATTCTGTCCTATGAAATGTGTGTGTGTGTGTGTGTGTATAATTCTTGTTTGCACGTCTGAGTCTCAGTTTTAGTCGTTTTGTGTGTCTGCACACTACTCTTGCCAAGGAAGCCAAGCCGTGCCCTGGTCACTGTCTCTCTCACTTCTGCTTCCTTTCAGCGCTCAGGAAGAGACCTAATCTCTATTTTGTGTGTGTGTGCGTGTGCTTGTGTATTTGTGTGTGTGTGTGTGTGTGTGTGTGTGTGTGTGTGGGTGTGGGTGTGGGTGTGTGTGTGTCCTTCATGTTTCCTCTTTTCCTTTCTGCTAGTTATTAGAGTGTGCAGCATCACAATCCTATCTTTAATGAAGTCATTAAGTAGGAATAATACGTTTTGGAAATATTTTCACTCACTGAGCTTTTCCTCATGTCAGTTGAAATCACAACATCTTGTTGGCTTTAAATATGTTGACATTGTTGCTCTTTCCTTTAACCATCTCTCATTTAGTTTAACTGTTTTATCACTGTTCTTCAAGATTTTCAACAACTTATTATTAGCTCTTGATGTCTTAAAAATAATACTCTGCTATATATTACCCCTAACCCGAGTGATACATCTAGGGCCAGACATAAGGAAAAGACAACATCCATGCTTTTTGGATGACATACTTTTAAAAGTAACTTTCAAATAACTTAAGTCATTTTGACTGCTGAATATTATTATTATATTTTTACATTATATATATTTTTAGTCATGAACAGTGATTATTGTATACGTTACTGTTAAGTATGTTTCATGTGTCTTCCTCAACTCTTGATTTCATCCTGATTTATCCCAGAGTCTCTATTTTTAAGGCATTAAAATGAACTTTTACCCGCTTATAGGCGTTCTTATATTTGTATTTATCACCCAACGGAGTTGAGGGCAGATACTTATGTCAGATAAGTATCACAGATTACGTCACTGATATTGGGGGAATTTTTGCACAGGAATAAATGTCTGCGTGAATTCAATGAATCAATATGACATTTCCGGTGCTAAAGATGTTCTTGGTGAGACCTCCAGACCTCCTACAAAGACATTTTCAAATAGACGAAACTTTTCTCACAGTTTCTCTGCATTTAAAAACATTATACAGGGAAAGAAGTTTGGTTGAACTGGTCAGTAACCTGCAAATTAGTCTTAAGATCAGTATGAAAAAGATCGTGATAAAATCGGGATCGTGATTTTTGCCATAAAAAATCGTGATATGATATTGTTTCCATATCGCGCACCTCTAGGTTGAACGTGTGAATGATTATGAATGGTGCTGTTCAGCGGTCGGGCACTTTACACAGCAGCCTCTACCATCAGTGTGTAAATATGTTGAGAATGGATGAATGTAGGGTTGGGAATCTTTGGGTGTCTCACGATTCGACTCTATTTTGATTTCTTGCGGTCACGATTTGATTCAGAATCTATTTTCGATTCAACACGATTCTTGATTCTTGATTCTTGATTCTTGATTCATGATTCATGATTCAAAGTCTATTTTTGAATCAGTACATACTTCAGAATCTACTCCAGTCCTCTGTGAGGCTGAATTTCCTGCTCCACTTGACATTCAGAAAAAAGAAGTCTACTTATTGGAGTGTTTTGCCACGATAGCCGGCACCAATAACACTTCCTGCCCGGGGTCCACAGATGTAAATGAGCTATACAGCTATCTCTGACCCAACAGTGTGCAGTGCATGGTCCCTGTCAAATAAACTAAACTAGTGATAGATGGAAGTGAAATATCTGTCTGGGTTTATTGTTGTTTATATGTGCACAGTGTCAAGTCAACATTTTTCACTGTTTGTCCGTCTTTAAACAGTTCGTCTCCCAGTCAAATATTTGAGCTTAAAGGCCTTTGCACACGGAGTCCGTTTTTTTTTTTTTTGGGACCGAGGAAATAAGATCCCATGTTGTGTCAATCATGTTTGCACACTGATGCAGAAACTTTCATCTATCGTTTGATTGTCTGTGTTTTTTTTCATCCATCCCTGTGTGTCTGTCTGCGTCCACACCTCAATCATCTACTGCCAGCGGCTGTTCGATTGCTTCCAGCACATTGGTGGACTTCTTTTGAATGTGTGGTTCCAATATGGCTAGCAGTGAAACAAAGTAGACTGCTGACATCCTGAAATACACCAGGAAGCGATTAGGATCATTATGTAGCTCCTCCTTTATCAGCAGGTAAAACTCTCCTCACTCTTGCTTCTTTTCAGGAGTTGACAAATCCTCTTTTTTTTTAATTTCGTTTTTTCATGGAGGGAATGAACCACTTAATCATCTTCACTGCTAGATCACTTTGCACGATGAGTAGCCTACGAGACATGTTGTCTCGTACTGCAAATTTTCCCAATGAATAGAAAAAGCACTGACCTGAAAAACACATCTGAAAAAAACAAAACAGACTCAGTGTGCAAAGGCCTCAAGATGTAACGACTTTAATGGCTGTAACTGCATCAGATGGAAATATTTTAGATCTTTTTACACATTTCCCCAAAACTCATCCTGGCATATTTGGTATCTTTGTAAACCTTGGGTTACCCTCAAGATTTGAATATAAAACTCTGCGGTTCAAACAATGCTTGGCAGAACACGACTGGTTTGTAAAGATGGACCCACCGCTGGGTTTTTGTTCTTCGTTTGATTCGGGGATATTCTGTTTCATTTGATTGTTACCACATGCGAGGCATCTTTGTTATCTATTCAGAGGTTATGTGGAAAGCACTGATTACGAGGACAGAGCGGATTACAATGGATTCAGACCGACTGTGAGTGAAAGCTTAATGTTAGGGTGAAGAAAGTATGTCTGTGTCGCGGGGGGGGGGATGGTCTCTCCCTATGTTAGCCTCAGTGGTCTGGAATGGTTTGTGGAACAGTGTAACAGTGTTAACCACAAGCCAGGGCTGTCGCACGAAACCATCCCAACACTACTGTGAGACTCTGCTGTCATAACTCAACTATGAAGCAATGTTTCTGGATATTTACTCACAGTCCTGGCCCAAACATAAAAACTGGCAACGGTTTTAGAGTCAGAGGTTTGATCTGTTTCAATTTAAGGGCCGATTTATCAAGGTAGAAAATGTTTTTGAAAGTTTGGAAAACATTGGTCAAAGTCATACTCTATTATTGGAAATATGTTATTGGAAGAAGATGTTCAAATAGAATTTTTTCTTGATACGGATACTGATACCTAAATCATGTTTTGGCCTGAGTACCATTCTCATACCAGTCCTATAGGGGACATATAAAAAATCCACTTCTACAATGTTATTGAACATATATTTGTGTAACCTGATTGTCTACAGACCCACAAAATGTGAAATAAATCCATCCAGTCCTTTGTTTGTGGTCTGCATAACTCTTACAACACAGAGAAAAATGCTCTGTTTCAAATTTACTCTCCTTGTGATGTCACAGTGGGATCCAGAAAATCCCCTCCCCTTCCCTCCCCTGGTATCTCCACCCATGGACTCCACCCCCAGCCTAGAACAAAACTTTTGCGCAGGTCGGCCATTTTTATTCTCGATACAGAGGAGTGATGTCTACGGGGAAAACTCAGGGGGGCTCATTACATTTAAAGAGACACACACACCAAAACGGAGCGTTCTGAGAGACCTGGTTTATACAGGTACACAAACCTCCTCTGGTGCTTTATTCATGTTATATTTTAAACAAAGCACAGCACAGATGTTTCATTTAGACCACAGGGGACTGTTTGAAAAGGTGGAGAAGGGGGATAATATGTCCTCTTTAATAAATGGCTGCTTTGTTGTACTGAAACTGTATAGTACCAACCATAACATTATAGACTATAAACTTTATCATTTTGATCTAGTGGGACAGTAAGTCATCAAACACATCCAGGATTAAGAAACATTTCTTAACAGGGATTTTTTAATGAAACATTTGCTTCCAGTGAAAAGTTTACAACAGTTACAAGTTTGTGCTTTCTTCAGTGCTTTTTACTGGTTTTATCTGCAGGTCTGTTTGAAAGAGAGAAAGAGACCCATACATGATGAATACTGAGGGAACAGAAACACAAGCTGAATGACTATAGGGACATACTTTATGAAGCTAAAGCTAGCTGCTGCTCAGTTCAAAACCCCACTAGACGATACATTACTACACGTTATGATACGATCAACTTTATTGTCCCTATAGGGAAATTATTTCTTGCACGCTAATGCTCTGTACATTAAGCTGGTTTCATGGAAGTGTTTGGGAGAAATACATTTTCTCTCGGGGAAAAATATCGACCTGCTTTATTTAGTTGAGCTCTGACTTTAGCTTTACATTCTTCGCTAGCACAGTGCTGCCGTTTATGAATGTTAAATTTGAATTGCCTGACGTCCGAACGTTCTGGAAAACATTTGAAAATGCTGTTAAGTTCCTTTTAACGTCATATGATGCTTTCACATAACTTACCTTTTACCAATCTTTCTCAAAACCACATATATTCAATATTCTGTCACGTTATTTAAAAGTGAATCATTGAATTGCCCTCGCTGAAAATCTAGAACTCTATTCTATTTGGCTTTATTAAAGAACCTTAAGGGGCTTAAATGCAGACCAAGTAAGCACAGTGTCTGCAGTGTGAGTCCAAGTTTGTTTGTCTTCATGTCTTACCTTTATGTTTAAAGTCTGTTGCACAGATTGGCACATTTAACTAAATATAATCCATCACAGCTATAGAGCCTCCTCGGGGGTTATTGTTGGCGTTTACAGATTGTCACTGGATTCAGGATACATCAGATTTAGAAACAGAGGCATAATGATGGAACACTGTGGCGGTGTGTAAACGCCAAAGCCAGCAAGGTGGAACATCGCGTGTGTGTGTGTTTATGTGAAGCAACAGCTGTGTGCTCGCAGGCCGTGCCTCTCGCGCTCCATCATGCATTGTGAATTTACACACTTGGACACCAATATTACACCAATACGGGTGCAAATGTGTAAGTTCAAGGGCTCATTTCACGTATTAAGAACTCAAGCAGAAATTATTTAATCAGAGGAGGACTGTTTGAAAAGAGTTGCCGGCTTTATACGGTAAAACTTTCTCCCTGTGGTTATTTAGTGTTTTAAAATAGCTTTTGATCAAATAAACCTTTAAAATTCTATAAGTTACAGTTTCTGGCAATTTAGCAAACTCTGAATAATCAACAGAGTTTAGTTTAGTGTGAAAGAAAACATATTTAAGTAATCAAGAAAAAAAAAATAATAATTACAAATCCATTGTAAAGTGCATAAACAAAACATTTATCTCTGCCTTCCTCCTTTCTACTCGTCTGCGTCCCCTTTCCTCCCTTTTACACACACACACGCACACACACACGCACACACACACACACACACACACACACACACACAACCTCTCCACTCTTCATATACCCAATACTAGGCTGCACGCTCGGGTTAGACAGGGCTTTTGTTATGAAAAGCAAGGGGCCCCCTCACTCTGTGTGTGTGTGTGTGTGTGTGTGTGTGTGTGTGTGTGTGTGTGTGTGTGTGTGTGTGTGTGTGTGTGTGTGTGTGTGTGTGTGTGTGTGTGTGTGTGTGTGTGTGTGTGTGTGTGTGTGTGTGTGTGTGTGTGTGTGTGTGTGTGTGTGTGTGTGTGTGTGTGTGTGTGTGTGTCCCTCTGAGCACCCCGACGTGTCAGGTGTCACTGACATCTGTGCGTTTGTGTTGATCTGCTCTTCGTTGTGCGTCTTAGGCTCAGCTTTATACGTCTTTCACCGGAAAATTAAAAACAGTGTTGGGCAAAAGTGTTGTTTGTGTGAAGTAGGTGTGTGTTCGTGTGCGGCGCAGGAGGTGGGAGGTTTTGGCCAAGTTGACAGAAGTAACTGGAGCGCAGACCTTGCAACATTTTTGACACGAGAAGGAATCTTTGCTGGTGATCTCAACTCTGTTATTTCAGCTCTAGTGTTTTCTTTTTTTTTATTCACTCTTCTTCTCTTCCTCATATCTGCCTCTTGTCTCTCTCTCTCTCTCTCTCCCCACCCCTCCTCTCTCGCTCCTCACTGTCCCTCCGAGCTGGTCATTAACGGTTCAAACACCCCCCCCCCCCCCTTGTCTCAAATGGACCCAGCTGGGGAAGAGGAGAGTGTCGATTTTTTTTGGCTTGCAGATTGTGCAATGCTTTCCAGAGGTCACCGCAAGTTCGCTGTATGTGTGCATGTGTGTATCTGTATGTTCTCATTCCACACTTCACACTTTTTTTTTTTTTTATAACCCGTCGGCAGAAAGACACACACACACACACACTCACACACTCACCCCCACCCCCCTCATCCCTCCACCTCATCTGCTGCTCCGTCAATAAACGTCCCTATTTCTTTTTGTTTTGCAGAGAAGCGATGAGGAATTACCTGAAGGAGCGAGGTGACCAAACTGTCATGATCCTGCACGCAAAAGTTGCACAGAAATCCTACGGTAATGAGAAAAGGTGAGTGACATCATGATGGCAGAAGCTTCTTCCTCAGACCTTGATAAACTACAGACATTGTTGGATTGTTGGCTGGGACGATTTAACCCTATAAATATGGAAAAATGCTGCTATTGGAGATGGTTCATTCGCTCTTCTAATCTCTTGCTGTACTGAAATGTTGTCTTGTTTTTGTTCTTGTGAATCCAAAGATAATTTTCCACATTGTGGAAGAATAAAGTTCTATTCTATTCTTCTTTACATGGTCGGTATACAGAAGTTTGGAGGTTCGATCTCCAGCTCCTGTAGCTACATGTCTGTTGTGTCCTTGGGCAACACACTTAACCCCAAATTGCTCCCACTACTTCGTTGGTGGTGTATGAATGTGTATGAAGTGGATTAGTTACTTCTGATGGTCACTTTACATAGCAACCTTTGTCATCAGTGTGTGAATGTGTAGGTGTGACATGTGATGTAAAAGCGCTTTACAAGCTCCAGTCCATTTACAATTAGTCCATTTACCGTCACATTTTTTTATTTCCATGGTAACATTGTTACGTTACTCGCAGAGTAAAACAAGACAATGAACACCGGCTACAATCCAGCAGCTGCAGATGGTTGTTTGCATTACTCTTAAAATTGTTTTAAGAAATAGAGAGAACATAAATTACATTAAAATAAGAGAAAAGTGAAACATTTGCAGAGAGAACTGTGAAAATGCCACTGTAGTCATCAGAAAATTATCGTAACCTTAATATAGAATAGAATAGAATAGAATAGAATCACTTTATTGATCCCAAACTGGGAAATTGTGGCGTTACAGCAGCAGGTTATCCAACACACAATATGAGTGAAAAACACAATGTTAGCAATCTAAACACAATATAATATTAACTACAAAGTGAATAAGTACTAAAAGATATCAAAAATAAGAATGTGAATATATACAACCAGGATTTAACTAAACATTACTAGTCTTAAATAGAAAGATTAAATATGGAAGATTGAATGTAAATGTGCAAAAACAGAGTCGTAGGTGATTATAAATTCAATATGAAAGATTGAATGTAAATGTGCAAAAACAGAGTCGTAGATGATTATAAATTCAATATGAAAGATTAAATGTAAATGTGCAAAAACAGAGTCGTAGATGGACAGTATTGACGTAAGCTAAAGTGCATGGGTTCAGACATATTATAAGCAGAAACTATACAATATAACGGCGAGTAGACAGACAAATGAAGTGAACATGAGTGCAGGGATAATTTGTAAATTTAACATGTGCAGAACAGATTACAGTATGGAGAGACAGATATTATCATGCAGATATTATTCAGCAAAGGTTGCACAGATTCTATGGATACAGAGCCTTTAAAGATAAAGAATTACTATTATGTTCTTTGTTTAAGATTTCTTTTTTGGGCTTTTTGTGCCTTTTAATGGTGAGACATGACCGTGGTAAGAGTCAGGTATCAGAGAGAGAGAGAGAAAGTGGGGAATGACATGCGGCAAAGAAGCCACAGATGGGATTCGAACCCAGTCCGCTGCCTTCCAGGACTACAGCCTCTTTACATGGGGAATGCAAACTAACCACTCAGCCATTGGCTTCGATGTTTGTCAACGGATGTTCAGCTGATTTATCGCTGCCTCCCCAGGCTTTAACAGATCAAAACCTGGAAAACGCAAAAAATGTAACCCCTTGAATCCCAAACCTCTCCTTAAAAGTAACATATAGAGGCCTTTCTACACACTAACTTATCATTTATTGAAGGTCAGCTTAATGAGGAGTTATTCACATGGAGGAACACAAACCTGGCCTTGTTTATGAAACTTTGTGCACGCCCACTTTCAGAGGGTTTTAAATTGTCCCCCAAAGTTTCCAGGCCCTAGGAGTGAATGAAAAACTCCACACACTCCAGCTTGCCTCTGTGCAGCATCTTGACCCCTCTGACCTCCTAAAGCACATGAGGTCAGTGAAGGAAGTGAGCTGTGACCCCCCCCACACAAGGTCACACTCAGGTGAAGCCCTCATACTCTTATTCTTCATCTTACTCTTCTGCTCTGTTGAACTCATCTTCTCTTCCTCCAATCCTTCCTGTCCCTCTGCTCTCATCTTCCCTCCTCTCACTCTCTCACTTTTATAGCTTTTCTCCCCCCTCCTCCCCTCCTCCCCCCTCTTCTCTTCTTTCTTATTATGCAACTTCTTCAGCCCTCCATCCTCCGACTGTTTTCTCAACTCCTAGAATCCTCGGAGGGTTGGAGAAAAAACAGGAGAGAAAGAAGTTGAGAGGTTGAGACTGAGATGAATTCCTCTGATAAACTTATCAAATATACAGACTCAAGAGTTTCACGAGCCCTTTTGCCTCCTTAAACCCCCCCATGTTCACGGTGTTTGCATCAGTCTCTCACCTCCGATCATGTCTGTCTGCGTTGTCACAAGGGATTCAAAAGAAAGTAGGCGCACGGAGAATGCAAATGTGCCCTCTTCCTCCTCCTCCTCCTCCTTTCATACCACCTCTTGTCTGTCTGCGCTTTTTATAGGAGTGAAAGTAGACAAACACCCACAGAGACAGACACCGGTGTTGCGAAATAGGTCGCTTTCCAGTTCCACACTGACGCACACAAGTTTATCTGAAGCGGTTCAGAGATGAGTCGCTTTGAGGGAGCTTGAAGTTGTAATTTTTCTTCACTTGACTTTGAAAGTGTAACAAAGGAGAAGAGAAGGGGAAGTTTGAAATCCTGGAATGAAAAAGAGTCACTTTTTGTTTGTAGTTCTGCTTTGTTTGAACAGATCAGGTTCATGCTGAACAACTCATGTTAGCATCTGATTAATGAGGCCTGACAGCTTGAGGAAAGACTGGTTGTATATAAACAGTATGCTGATTTTAAAAAAAAAGTGTCCTTACTCTCTTTTTTAAAGATCAGTTCAGGTCTGCCCTCTAGTGGTAGAAAATAGGAGATGCATGTCGATCCATGTTTGAGCGATGATACATGATTTATTCTTCCACTAAAATAAATTGCTGTTGTGTCCAGGAAGCATCATTTCCATCTGTTGATTTAATTAAGTTTTTTTCAAGGCAATCAATGTCGACATTAATGCCAGACAATTTCAGATTTCTAGTCCCATCTGTTGTTATACTTAAAAAATTCTTCATCAACATGTCCCAACAACATTCTGAAAGCTCATAAAGCCACCAAACGTTCTCTTAAAGCCACCAAATGTTCTCCTAAAGCCACCAAATGTTCTCCTAAAGCCACCAAACGTTCTCTTAAAGCCACCAAATGTTCTCCTAAAGCCACCAAACGTTCTCCTAAAGCCACCAAACGTTCTCCTAAAGCCACCAAACGTTCTCTTAAAGCCACCAAACGTTCTCCTAAAGCCACCAAACGTTCTCCTAAAGCCACCAAACGTTCTCCTAAAGCCACCAAACTTTCTCCTAAAGCCACCAAATGTTCTCCTAAAGCCACCAAACTTTCTCTTAAAGCCACCAAATGTTCTCCTAAAGCCACCAAACTTTCTCTGAAAGCCACCAAATGTTCTCCTAAAGCCACCAAATGTTCTCCTAAAGCCACCAAACTTTCTCTGAAAGCCACCAAATGTTCTCCTAAAGCCACCAAATGTTCTCCTAAAGCCACCAAACGTTCTCCTAAAGCCACCAAACGTTCTCCTAAAGCCACCAAACGTTCTCCTAAAGCCACCAAACGTTCTCCTAAAGCCACCAAACTTTCTCTTAAAGCCACCAAACTTTCTCTTAAAGCCACCAAATGTTCTCCTAAAGCCACCAAACGTTCTCCTAAAGCCACCAAACGTTCTCCTAAAGCCACCAAACGTTCTCTTAAAGCCACCAAACGTTCTCCTAAAGCCACAAACGTTCTCCTAAAGCCACCAAACGTTCTCCTAAAGCCACCAACTTTCTCCTAAAGCCACCAAATGTTCTCCTAAAGCCACCAAACTTTCTCTTAAAGCCACCAAATGTTCTCCTAAAGCCACCAAATGTTCTCCTAAAGCCACCAAACGTTCTCTTAAAGCCACCAAATGTTCTCCTAAAGCCACCAAACGTTCTCCTAAAGCCACCAAACGTTCTCTTAAAGCCACCAAACGTTCTCCTAAAGCCACCAAACGTTCTCCTAAAGCCACCAAACGTTCTCCTAAAGCCACCAAACTTTCTCCTAAAGCCACCAAATGTTCTCCTAAAGCCACCAAACTTTCTCTTAAAGCCACCAAATGTTCTCCTAAAGCCACCAAACTTTCTCTGAAAGCCACCAAATGTTCTCCTAAAGCCACCAAATGTTCTCCTAAAGCCACCAAACTTTCTCTGAAAGCCACCAAATGTTCTCCTAAAGCCACCAAATGTTCTCCTAAAGCCACCAAACGTTCTCCTAAAGCCACCAAACGTTCTCCTAAAGCCACCAAACGTTCTCCTAAAGCCACCAAACGTTCTCCTAAAGCCACCAAACTTTCTCTTAAAGCCACCAAACTTTCTCTTAAAGCCACCAAATGTTCTCCTAAAGCCACCAAACGTTCTCCTAAAGCCACCAAACGTTCTCCTAAAGCCACCAAACGTTCTCTTAAAGCCACCAAACGTTCTCCTAAAGCCACCAAACGTTCTCCTAAAGCCACCAAACGTTCTCCTAAAGCCACCAAACTTTCTCCTAAAGCCACCAAATGTTCTCCTAAAGCCACCAAACTTTCTCTTAAAGCCACCAAATGTTCTCCTAAAGCCACCAAATGTTCTCCTAAAGCCACCAAACTTTCTCTTAAAGCCACCAAACTTTCTCTTAAAGCCACCAAATGTTCTCCTAAAGCCACCAAATGTTCTCCTAAAGCCACCAAATGTTCTCCTAAAGCCACCAAACTCTCTTAAAGCATTCATTAAAAATGGACTAAACCCATGTTATATATATATATATATATATATATTTTTTTTTTTTTTTGTAAAGTACTTACATTACCTCTAATATTTGCAGCAGTTTTCAAAGCCAGGGTGGGTAGCAGAGAGAACTGACATGATTCCCCGCTAGCTGACGTCCTCTTTTGTGATTGTAGTATTGCTCGAGAGCCCCCTTGTGGCAGAATCTACATATTGTATCTTTAAAGCCACCAAACTTTTTCTTCAAGCTGCTGAATGCTCTGAAAGAAACCAAATTTTTATTAAAAGTCACAGATCTGTATTTTTAAACAAACAGGCTTTCTCTTTAAGCCATTACATTTTTTTGATATATCTTTCCAGTTATGTCGATCTTTTCTTCTTTTTATTCCAGGAAAGTGGATTAAGATCAAACTGTTAGAAGTGCAACAGGCTGCCAATGTAAAGAAGTGAAAGGAGGGCAGAAAAGAGGGTTTCATGGTTTTAATTACAAACATTCTTAAATCAGGGATGTGAGTCTTCTGGATTTATCCGTAACTCCCAGAAATTAAATGTTAACCCACAAGACTTAAATAATCAATGACAGTTTTTCACATGCATAGAAGTTATTTGTCATTTACTGTATAATGTCGGGTTTACGAGATCACCATTTAAGGTTGCTGCTTTTCTGTCCCTTTGCTGATCTATATTGAATATTGAATACTTACTGTCTGTGACTCTGCACAGGTTTTTCTGCCCTCCCCCCTGTGTTTACCTGATGGGCAGCGGCTGGAAGAAAAAGAAGGAGCAGATGGAGCGAGACGGCTGCTCCGAGCAGGAGTCGCAGCCCTGCGCCTTCATCGGCATCGGAAACAGCGACCAAGAAATGCAGCAGCTGAACTTAGAGGGAAAGGTGAGACACACACACACACACACACACACACACACACACACACACACACACACACACACACACACACACACACACACACACACACACACACACACACACTCACACACTCTCTTACTTACCTGCTACACAACTATCCAAAATGCCACCCATTATCTGTGATAACAGTGTTAATAAATGTTATGAATAAAATAAAGTTGTCAGTTTTTTAGTTACTGTTCTGACTCATAGAATCAACTTGCAAGAAAAAGACTTGGTCTAATATATTCTGTTTTGTCTTTCTACCTGCCCCCTGATCACATCCCCCCCCCAGAATTATTGCACAGCCAAAACCTTGTACATATCCGACTCCGACAAGAGAAAGCACTTCATGCTGTCCGTCAAGATGTTCTACGGCAACAGCGCCGACATCGGTGTCTTCCTCAGCAAGAGGATCAAAGTCATCTCCAAGCCTTCAAAAAAGAAGCAGTCCCTCAAAAACGCAGACTGTAAGTCTCTGCTCGAGTGTGTCTCACACACATTTTGGTCAATTTGGGTGGAAGATGCACTTTAATTGACTTTATTAATCAGAAGGTTGATTTTAGCTCTAGACTGAATATAGGTATGTTGAAGCTAAGTTAACTGTCCATTTTTATTTGACTTAAATGTATTATATAGAGCTTACATTTGTTTGTTTTTTGCTGCTTTTTTGTGGAGAATTAAGTAACTTCTAATACTTCTATTTGCTTAACAATCTATGAAACCTTGACTTAATTTATCTTTTGTTTTATAAAATCTGTTTTACTTGTTTTTCTCTGTTAGGCTCTTCAAAAATAAAAATAAATCAGTATCATTTTTTTGCCACTAGAGGGTGGTGTAGCTGAAGTTGAGTTCCAAGTAACCTTGATTTGTCCCATGTAGCACAGAGCTATAAGACCTTTAAGCAACACTTCATGTTGAGGTCATTGTGTAACCTGTGTGTGTGTGTTTGTCCAAAGTGTGTATCGCATCAGGGACCAAGGTGGCACTCTTCAACCGGCTTCGGTCCCAAACGGTCAGCACACGCTACCTCCACGTGGAGGGCGGCAACTTTCACGCCAGCTCCCAGCAGTGGGGCGCCTTCTACATCCACCTGTGTAAGAAAACTCCACCAGCTTCAACATTAAAGAGAAGAGAGCGTTTAGAGGAACAGCAGATTGTACAGAGGAACTCTTTTTGACAGCTTGTCTCTTCTGTTCATTTCAAAAGTAACCCACGCTGTAGTAATTACACGCCTGACTCACTGACAAAGAAAAGGGATTGATTGATTGATTGTGATTATAGAAAATGTCAAAGCTCGAAGCGTTCCTGACTTGTTCTTTCTTCTTCTGTGTTTGTTTTTTTCGTGCGTGTTGTCTTCAGTGGATGACGAGGAGTCAGAAGGAGAGGAGTTCACTGTGAGAGACGGTTACATCCACTACGGTCAGACAGTCAAGCTGGTGTGCTCGGTCACGGGCATGGCGCTTCCCAGACTGGTAAAAGAAACATCTGTCGTCTCTGTAGAATAAATGGTTGTTAATAAGAAGGGGTGTTTACTCTGGACCAGTTCTTTGTTTTATTACGATGAAAGATCCTAGTAGATTCCCTGAAATCCTGAAATCTGAGTATGACCAAAACATTTACAGTGTGTGTGAGACATTTCTCCTCAGTTTATTGCTTTGTTCTTTTAGTTGTTGTAATGTTTAAAGATTGTTCTGCTTGATACAAAAAGACATATAAAAATGTGTCATGTTTTATGGTGGTCCTGGAGAAAATAATCTATCAATGTCTTTTTTTTAAAACATCCAAAAAATTAATAAAACTCAAGAAAAAAAATGAGATTAGAACAGAAAAAGAAAAGGAGACTTTAATGATCTGATTTGTGGGAACGGATTGACAAAAGTAGGACTATAGTGAATACAATACACTCAAATAAAACTATCATTAAAAATATGTAAAAGCCTTCATTAGATAAGCAGAGGTCTTTGTCTCATCGGTATCTTAAAGGAATAGTTAGGGTTTTTTTGGGGGGGGGGGGGTAAATATGCAGAACTATTTCTTGGATTTGCAGAAGACATCCCTCAAAACAGCAACTTTTGACAAGAAATAGAACTTTTAAAAGTTATGCTCCCCTTGTTTAGTCTTAATGCTAAGCTACGCTAACAACCTCTCAGGTATTAAATAGGAAGTTTTTTTTTTCCATTTCCTCATTCCCCTTTCATTTCCTGTTTTTGTTTCATTCTCCTGTACCCCCTCTTTCCCAGTTTTTCTATCTTCCTATTGGCTAATCTCTCTCTCGGTCATTTTTCTCTTTCAGATAATCCGTAAAGTGGACAAGCAGACGGCGCTGCTGGACGCTGACGACCCGGTCTCCCAGCTACACAAGTGTGCCTTCTACCTGAAGGACACAGAACGCATGTACCTGTGCCTTTCCCAAGAAAGGATCATCCAGTTTCAAGTGAGGGAAACATGCATCAATGCAGGCCTGAGGTCCCTTTGCCTCCACATCTGGTTTACCAAAGCTCAATACTGCATCTATTTCTCACCTTTAATAGCTTGTACACTTTCTTATTAGGACGATAGTTAAGCTAATGTGGGATCTGTAATTTCAGACTTGAGGAGAGTTAAAGTTTAGCGTCTCCTTCTCTCCTCATTCTTCCAGGCCACTCCATGCCCAAAGGAACCAAACAAGGAGATGATCAACGACGGCGCCTCCTGGACAATCATCAGCACAGACAAGGCCGAATACACTTTCTACGAGGGCATGGGCCCCGTGCACTCACCTGTCACCCCTGTGCCTGTGGTAGAGAGCTTACAGGTACAAAAAGGACACAGCTACTTTCCTCACTGAACTTAACGTTGCTCACAGTGTCGTTTTAAAACCGGCAAGCTTACTAAAATTCCTCCTCCTCCTCCTCCTTTTTCCGCAGCTTAACGGCGGTGGAGATGTCGCCATGCTGGAGCTGACGGGACAGAACTTCACTCCAAATCTGCGGGTCTGGTTCGGAGACGTTGAGGCAGAGACGATGTACAGGTGGGTCTCTTCTTCGGGCAACATTCACACTTTCTTTTAAACACTTTTTTTTTTTTTTTCGACCTGCCTCACTTTTATATTCAGTCAGATTTCCTGGCACGAGGAATGACAAGGTCATTAGTCTACAAGCTGAAACACGTCTATTTGTTAATAAAGTTGATTTTCATACTACAAGTGTGGCTGGAGCTTTTTGACCTCTTCTAACTTGTTTTATTCACACTCGACTTTACAGAGCACATAGAAGTCCTCTTTCCATTTCAGAGCCAAAATGAGATCCATTATCTGCACCAGCCCTGCTTGATTTTAGTCCTATTAGCATACAAATTGTCAATTTCAACTTCATTTAAAGATTTATGGTGGATCTTAGAGTCGCAGAAAGTTATGGCTTTAGGTTTAATGAACATGATGGAGATTTGAATAAGTTTGAAATTTGAATTATGAAACGCTTTCAAAATGTTCTCTGAAAGCTAAAGCTCCTGGAGCCTAATTCTCTCTCTCTCTCTCTCTAAATTAATCAATTCAGCCCGTGATGAATCATGAGTCTTTACTTTTTCTTCATTAAGTGCACTGCTTAGTTTCTCTAAGAGCTAAATTACATTGTTTTTTTTTCTCTTGTGAAATGTAGCTGTCCCTTTTGTCAGGCTGAGATTTAAGGACTGATTAGATCTAGTGTGTTTATCAGAACCACCCACCGAGCTGTGAGGCGGTCAGACCTCCCTGTCTGCATGACAACACTCCTCTCAGATAGTTACGTAGGTCGGTTTTCAAAGTGATATTAGAGATACTGTCAGAAAAGAGGTGCATCCTGGTCATTGCAGTCTTTCATTATGTATCTTAACCCCACACACATTGGCTTCAGCAACAAGTTAGAATCTCTGATCTGCTTTGATGTCTATTCATACTCTTGTATTATTGGGTCTTGTTTAAGACATCATTTCCCTTTTAGGTTGTGTTCTGCATATATTCTTAAATAGAAAAGGTTATGAATGTGTGATGAACTTAATTGTTTCTTCAGCAGTACATTTCCTGTATTATCTAATCGTAGACTTTCTTTTATTTTAACCGTTAACAGTTTCTCTATTGATTTCCCCCGACATCTTGAGTACCATAAAATACCGTGAATTCTGGTCTAGGGGGGTAAAGGGAATTGAAGTTCAAACTTGATTTCCTGCATGACGATTTCCATTGCATTCAATTAAGTCCTCATGCAGTTTCTGTGCATCTGTGTAACACTAATCTTGTATCATCTGTTTTCACCATGGGGAGTTTGTAATTGCGTAGTTGAGCTCTCAGCTTCCAGCAATGTTGATAGTTGTGAAGCACCGAGTCATAGGCCGCCAGCAGTTTACCTAGCACATAGGGCTGGGAATCGTTGGGTGTCTCACCATTCGATTCGATTTCGATTTTTTTGGGGTCACGATTCGCTTCAGAATCGTTTTTTGTTTCAAAACGATTCTGGATTCATTGAATCATGGATTGAAAGTCTGTTTATGAATGAGTACATACTTGAGGAGTGAGAGTGGCTGAATTTCTTGTTGCTCTATTTGGCATTCTACTGAGTTAAAGAGCTAGCCTTAGCACTTAGCAGGGAGTGACTGATAAGCCCCCTTCATAACTTCCAAATTAGATATATGGAAGTTATGAATCGACTTTAAATCTTAGAAGAGATTTTCCCACCTTTGATACATGTGCAGATCATATTGGGATTACAGCATTTATCCATCCGTCTACATGAATGTTGTGACCAACCCATCAAGGCAGATGGCTTTCCAACTGGACTTATTTGTCCTGACGTTTCTGCTTCTAGAAGAAGGCTTTCCCTTTTCATAAATGCTAATGCTAGCTGTAGTGGGCATGTAGGATCACAGGAAATGTTACCATATCAGCTTGACGATATAGACCTAAAATACATCCATTCATTCAAACGTAATGCTCTCACCATGTTCATAGCCGTAGTTTTAAAGTGGATTCATTTCTTTGTGTTGTTCCTCCAGGTGTGCGGAGAGCATGCTGTGCGTAGTGCCCGACATTTCGGCTTTCCGCGAGGGCTGGCGCTGGGTGCGGCAGCCGGTCCAGGTGCCCGTCACGCTGGTTAGGAATGACGGCCTCATCTACTCCACCACACTGACCTTCACTTACACGCCGGAGCCAGGGCCGCGGCCCCACTGCAGCGCCGCCGGAGCCATCCTGCGGGCCGGAAACTCCAGCCTGCTCAGCAACAGCAGCAGCCAGGACGCCGGCTCTGGCGTCTACGGCCCCAACAGCACCTCCAACGCGGGAGTCACGTCCTCGTCCTCCACCGCCGCGGCCGCTGTGGTCTCCTAACGCACACCGGGGGGGGGCCACAACACAATATGCCTTGAGAGGAAACGTATCGCAAGGCGTATAAAGACTATGGGAAATTATAAACAAAACAAAAAAAACTGACTCACTCTTTTAAGTGCTGCGTTTGGATTTTGGATACAAAGGAGCTGAAATTGGCAGGAGAAGGGAGCAAACGCAGGGAAATATCTGAAGGAGGAGCAACATTACAACGTTTTCAGCGAATGGGAATACGCGGAAGAAAGAAAATAAAAAAAAAAAGTGCTCCTTGCCACGCTCCCCTCCCGTGGTTACTTTAGGGACCTGCCTTTCCAGTTTGTGGTGCTTAGAATGAGAGAAGTTCCTGCAGGCTCAGAGTACCAGCACCTTTCTACGGGGGGGGGGTTGGGGAATAAACCACAACAACAATACATCCATTGTGTACAAAATATTCTCTTGAGAGGAAAAGTATATTTTTTGCACCGCCCAAAGCCCCTCCCACTTTTTGTTTATAAATATTTCTTTTTGTTTTTTTTTGGTTGTTTTGCCTTCTTTTGTGGTTCCCTAAAGGGCGGCTGGATGTAATGTTGTTGGAGGGAGCGCAAGGATGCAGAGGGACACACAGAAAACATGACGATGAAATAGTTTTTATGGACCAAGGATCTTGTATAAGCTTTAGTAAAGGTACATTTTTCTCCATACCTTTTTTGTATTAAACATATAGTACACTTTTGTTACCAAATAGTTTCTATTCTTCCTCTGAGCCCGGGCTTTGTTTCCCCCCTTTTTCAAGGTCCAAAAAACCCGGCCTGTATGTTATTGTGACCTTACAAAACGCCTGCTTTTTCAGTCTTTGGACTGACCTTTTTGTTGTTTTGATACTCTTTGCTTCTTCTTTTGGGGAAAAAACAAATCTGAAGTCTGGGTTGTTTATTTACATCAGCAAAGTTTTTTTTTTTTTTTTTTTCTTTTTTAAATGGGGATTAACCTCAGAGGGCCTATGTTTTGTTATTGGTTTTTTTATGAAGTCTTTAAAAAGAAAAGCTTTAAGCAACGCCTCTGCCTTGCCTGCAATACTCAACATGTGCGCTACGTCTCCTTATACACATCAGTACATCTCACACGGAGCCATAGCAACGTTTGCAGAAAACGTCAGAAAGTAGACTTCCACGGTTACAAAAACAAGTCATCTTTAATGTACTTCAAAGATAGCCTTAGTACTGTTTATTCTTACTGTGCACGCAGTCAGAAGGGTCACATATCTACAGTCATATCCTGTAATCTGTCGCTCTATTGGTCACTGTTAACGCATCAGATAACGTCGGGAAACCTAGCGAGGTGTCTTCCAAGTGTGTGCTGTACTTCTTCTGGCATTTAACTCCAAAAAGACTTTTCAATTTGATGTGGCCTTACTGATAACTTTAATTACTACAAAAAAAAAAACATCCTTCATGCTCTCTTATCTGCTGTTTACTCACCATGGAAGAACCTGTGCATAGCACAAAAACAAAAAAACAAACGCCTCGCTTCCTATCACAGGAGCTCTGCTGTTCCCCGAGCTCATCGCTGCAGCTTCACTCTAAAGCAGCCTTCTGAAGGACATCTACGCCTTCTTTTGATGGTGTACAAGTACAACTACACCCGTCTTTTTTTTAATTATTATTCTCATGCGGTGCCCAGCACCTTTTCACTTTTGGTACAACGTCTCACGAGCGCCGTAAAAGCTCTTTTCAGCCTTCTTTTTTAAGAAAACAAACAAAAAAAAAAAATCTCCTGTAGTTTTATTATCTTTGCAGAAAAAAACAAACAAACAAAGCATGTGTTCATTGTTAAACTCGCTGTCCGAGTTAGTTGCACTCATTCGTATCCATGGCGACTGCTGCGTGTCCTGCAGGAGCATAAAGGCCTTTAAATGTGTATTATCGAGGATGTGCGTTTCCCAAACATAACAGCAATATTGTACATGTCATTTCATTGTCTTAGTCCGCCTGAGCACTAGTTCACCAGCCAGCAAGTGTGTGTGTGTGTGCGTGCGTGCGTGCGTGTGTGTGCGTGTGTGTGCGTGTGCGTGTGTGTGCGTGTGCGTGTGCGTGTGCGTGCGTGTCATATGTAGTTGCTGTAATGGAATGAGTCAGACTCGCTCCATTTTAAAGAGTGCTCTCCAAAAACAAAGAAAAACCTTGAGATTCTTCGGGGGTTTTCTGTCTTCCACCACGATCCAAAATGTCTGATGATTTTGGATAAACATTTTAAGGCAATACTTGTGAATTTTGAAGTATTACAGTACGACTGTATACACAACCGGCAAAACAAAATGAACAACGAGACTGTAACTTGAATGTCTGCTGAAAATGAAGTATTTTCTTCTTACAAACAAAAAAAAAAAACACCCCTTGAAATAGGAACAAAAAAGGATTCGCTTGCACCCTACCAATGTAAAAGAAATAGATTAAGTTATGCCCCCTTTACACTACCCTCGCCCACCTGTCAGTCATTAATGTTAAATGTTTTATATTGTAAAATTGATATTTTTTAAATTATTGGTACAAAGTCTCCCCCTTGTCTTATGTCAAAAGAAAAAAAAAAAAAAAGAAAAGTGCATTATCGCCCATGCTGCCTAGGTCGGCCTGGGAGTGTATTTAACAAAAAAAAAAAAGAAAAAAAAAGAAAGAGGCCACTGCCTGTCTATCCCGGAAACCGTGGAGGATGTCGTCGGTGCTGCAGCGACAAGTGTAGCATCCAAATAAATTTCTGCGCTTCTTCCTGAACCCTTTACTCTGCAGGATGGAGGTCACAAAATCTTAACTGTAGATTTCTAACTTGAGTGTTTTTATCCTTTTATTTTTTTTGTTTTGTTTACTAGCTCTACATTAAGCGAGTGTTTTTTTTTTTTTTTAACAAAGCCTCTGCATTTGCGTCACACACACCCCCTCCCACTCTCCCTCCCTAGAGCCCCGATATTTTTGGGTTTTTGTTTACAAGTCGAGACGCCTCTTTACCTCCTCCCCCCCCCCCCCCCCCCGCCTCTTCATCATCTCCTCACGCGAGTCTGAACAGAGCGGCTTTGTCACATTTGCTCAAGCTAATAAAGGGGGTGATGCATGCTGTTAAAAAAAAATGAATAAAAAAAAATGTATCGCCTTGACAATCTGAGCTAGTTTACAGTTTGTTTTTCTCTCTTAAAATAATGCTTTTAAGAGATTGGGAGGATACAGAAAGCATCAAAAGTGGTCAAAAATGTTACATGACTTCTTCAAAAACACGCTACATTAACCTAGCAACAAATAAACGCTATCACATTAGCGATGCTAACTGGTTTCTTTCTCTGCGTGTGTGTGTGTGTGTGTGTGTCTGGTCATATTTTGCTCTTCCAAAAGCAGCTGTTCTTTTTGTGTTTGTGTTTTTTTTTTTATAATGAGCTCTGAACAATGTATGTATCCTCTAATATGCCAAATGTCTTTTTTATAATGTAGTTTTCATGCACTGCTAAACAAAAACAGGGCAGAGTGAGAGGCAGCTTTAAACAAATACAAAAAAAAAAAAAGGAGTGTGGAGCCCTTCTCTGTCGCACTCAGCCTTACTTCTCCTTCAGACTATTTGGCTGTTTGCACTACAGAGCGCTAACCTTTCTCTTTTTTCTCGTACACATTTCATCCTCACTCTTTATCGCTCATGTTTATGTTTGTACATTTGGAGTTTCCCCTCCTTCCTCCTCCTGTTTTTGTTTTGTTTTAACACGCAGCCTGTTATGCTAGCTTTGCTACACTTGGATCATTTTTTTTTGTTGTCCCTCCTCCTCCACTACTTCTTCTCCTTCTTCTCCACTCTCTTTCACTCTCACTGTATCTGTGTATTATTCTAGTAAATGGTAAGCAGAGGTGTCATTGTGGTAGTTATACTCAGTGCTCAAAGGGTTGCTGATGGTAGAAACCTGTGCCGTTTGTAACATTTAGCAATAAAATACAAAGGGGACGTTGTTTTTTTTTTTTTATAACATAACATTAGTTTTGTTTTTGTACATATTGCAGCTCCAGATCATGCTCAAAAATCTGTATGTCATTAAAATAAAAAAAAGGAGAAAAAAACTTGCAATATTGGCATAAAAATGAAAAATAAAAAAAGTGATATCAAATCTCACGTTGTGTTTTTAATTGTCACCAGAGGCATCAACTGATTTAAGAAAACAAAAACAACAGATGTGTCCTTTTTAAGCCATTTTCTTCTTCTTCTTCCTCGCAGTTACAGTTGAGTGTGTCCCAGCGGCTGCAGGGTGAAGAGGATCACGTGTTTGTCCAAATGGATCTCTTACCGCTGGGAAGGAGTCCCAACAGATTTTCAATCTCTCGCTCTCTCTCTCTCGCTTTTCTTGGCTCTGATGCCCTCTGTCCTTCTTGACTCACTTTTATTAAAAGCCGTTAAAAGCTCCAAGTTTCTCTACCATGAGTCACTGCCGACAGTAACAAACCGGGAACTCGAGGTCTTATATGTTCAAAAAGACAGCATGTTATTCAGAATTGAGCTGTGTGTTTGCACATGACAAAAAGAAAAATCACAATCATATGTGAAAAGTCTCTGGGATTACATTCAATCATATGTTCAACAGGATCTCTGTCAAATTAGGCACGGTATGCATTTAAAGAAATCTTTCAACAACAAAAAAAATACAAAAACACATTTGCTACATAAATGCTGTTTTTTTTTAACTGCTAGAATCACTGGAAATGAGGAGGGTAATGCCGGGAATTCACTCTTTTGAAGAGAGAGGATACAGGTGGGAAAAGTCTCACTAAATGATAAGGCCTGTCTCCTTGCCACAGTAAACACACGCATACACACACACACACACACACACACACACACAGATTAGGTCAAGGACAAGGGCAACACTGTTTGTGCGCTTAAGGACTGTTTTGAAACTGCCGAGTACAGATAACCGCAGTGTGACAGGCAGCCAATCCTGAAAATAGCAGAATAAGTACTCTTTAAAAAGAACTTGAAAATAAATATATGGAACCAATCAGGCCATTATTTTTATTTTTTTAGGATAACTGATGCTCATTTCCTGTTAACATTTCTTTATGAATCTGTTTCAACAAATAGCAGATATTTCTATAAAGAAGTTTGATTTATGTAATCCTAAATATGCGACCAGGGAAAAAAGCTAAATAAAATAAATTGCTTTCGCTCTCCACTTAAGGTGGAGCTCGATGCAGGGTGCTATTAGCTTAGCTTAGCATACAGAGAATTAACTGATACAGCTGAGCCTTTTTCACTGCCTCTGTGTAAATGAGGATGAAAAAAATATATGGAAAATGTTAAAGGTCCCATATTATGCTTTTTCTGGTTTTATATGCTCTTTAGTGTGTTTTCCAAGTGTCCTGTGCATGTTTAGGCACATCTATGTGCAAAAATTCAAAGTCTGTGGAAACGCGGCTTCTCCTACGTCCTCCTGTTAGCTGTAGCATTAGCCGCATGTAACGCTCGGTTCTAGCCCCCCCTCGATAAACATTTGTCAGTCTGACGTCATTGTCAGTGTGATATCACTGCTCTAAGCCCATTGGCTCGTTGTAGCAAGCCCTGCAGCTCATGTTGAAATTTCCGAGACGCGTGCTGAGCAACTGACCAATAACGACAAATACAATAGATACATAGATTAAATATACGAACCCCAAAAAGGGCATAATATGGGCTCTTTAACACTTATCTTTAGAGGTTAGCAGCTATTAGCGAGTAGTTTCCTGCCAGCCACTCTTGTTTATCGCGACGCTAAGTCCACCTATGCTCTAGCTAAAAGACATGATAGTGGTATCAATGTAATCACCATGTTCTTAAAAAATAATGAAGGCATTTATGGCTGCCTTAAAAGTAGGAAAATTACATAAAAAACAAAAACATGGGCTGGTCCTCATCATAGCAGTCGTTGGTTTAGTCGGACTTTGGCGCTTTGACAAACAAACAAAGCAACAAAAACAAAGGCAAGACCTAGGAGTAAACTAGCTTCATCGGAGTTTATTTACACCCTTTGAATTGTATTTTGATAAGCTGATCCTTGAATAAAGGAGATCAGGGATGGTTGTAACAGTGTCTTTCTCACAGCCAAACTACAGGGCGCTATTTCATCATGTCTACACTTACAGAATTACGCCTGGAATCTTTTCATTTGCTAGCTTAAAAAATATTGCAGCTAAGATAAAACCTTTAACAAAGTCAGATAGGGTTTGTTTTCTATGATGGGGAATACACTTGGTGGTAAAATAATTGATGCTTCCTGGAGTATATTTTTCACCCTCTTGTGGCTGTTGTATTCATTGTCCCTGTTTTTCTGTTCAACAGGTGATAATGATTGTTTTGCGAATGGCCAAACTTCAGAAAAGACTGCTTGTCTCCTGCTGTATTTGTCAGAAGATGATCTTTTCGGATCGAAACGTTGCCCTTAATAAAGTTGCTCTTTGGGAGCTGAATAGTGGGCAGACCTTTCTCTTTTTTTTCTGCAGGTAAAATAATTTATACAAATAAAATCACAATTTAACCCATTACTTAAAGCTTTCCAACAAGCAGAAGAATGGCTATTTTAAGATGTATTAATACATGTATTAATACTATTAATAATGTGAGAGTAAAACGTGTGACAACCAACCCCTATCTCCCCTATATTTTGCCTAATGCATTTTGTTCCATGAAAAAGAAACTGTATGGAAAGACAATTGGACCTTTATTCAGCTCTATATGCAGCTCTGAATGGTTGTGGTAGGGGAACGACTTCAAGTGAGTTAATGAGTGTCAAACTTTTTACTTTTCTGCTTCCTTGCAAGGCTTCATATTTACTGACTCCACCCTGGATTCTGCAGATGTTTGGGAAGTATATTCAGTGTGTGGATCAGTTGTCAAAGCACTGTAAGTACAGCACTTCTACTCCACTTCAACTGTTGTACCCATGTCATGTCAAACTCCAAGCAAAAGCAAAGTAGCTTCTCATAAACGACTATAAGCACTGAGAGGGCTTTACCTCGTTTTCACCCAGGCCTATCCACTCGCAAACACACACACACTCACACACACACACACACACACACACACACTCGCAGCAATCCATTTTAAGTCAGCTCACTCCAGGCTGAGGCTCGGATCCCGGTGTAGGTGAAGCGTGTGCTGGCTCCGCTTGGCGGGGTATGACCGTTCTGCTCATTGGAATTCCCCCCCACTCTAGATCTGTCCCCTTTAGCTGTTCCAGTTCCCGTTGACCTGCCTAAGTCTCCACTTCCTCCGCCTTTCCGCCTCAAACAGCTGCAGCAGGTGAACGTAGCCAGCATGCCCTTACGGAAGCGCTTGTTCATGAAGCAGTAGATGATGGGATTGACGCAGGCCGAGGTGTAGGAGAGCAGGTGGATGAAGGAGATCGGAGCACCAGTGAGGCGGTAGGCCGAGCGCCTGTCGAACGCCTGCCAAGCGTTGACCACAAAGACGGGAGTCCAGCACAGGAAGAAGAGGAAGACAATGACCAGGAGCATGCGGATCACGCGCTTCTTGGCCATCAGGTTCGCCGTAGAGCTGCTGCCGCACACTCGGCTCATCATGAGCTGACTGCTGGAACTGGGTAAGTTGCCTGTGATGCTCTTTTTTTTGGTCGGCGGCAGATAACAGCCGTCATTGTCACCGGTTTTGATGCTGCCAGTGCTGGATTGTCTGTCTGTCAGGGGAGAGGGAGTGAGAAGAAACAATATAGAGTGAAAGATGCAATTGTATCACCATTAAAGATCAAACGCAGGCAATGGCAATCCTAGAAGCAAAGGCTGCTATTCATGAAAGTATTTTCCTGAGTTACATTTGCTCAAATCTTCTGTGATTAGTTTTAGTAAAGATAAACGTCTCTTTGTTGTGGCCTTATGTCCTTATGTTTCAATTAGATTATCCAAAGAAAAAATACCAAATAATTCTGGCTTTGCCCTTAAAAAGAGATTCTTGCTTCATACCTCTGCTGGATTTCCTGTTGGATAACTCAAATTTGATGCCCCGGTACAGCTCTAGGGAGATGAGTCCATAGGCAGTCATCATGACGATCCCAGGGATTAGGAAGAGCAGCAATAACAGGGACACATACCTGCGAGGGGGGAATTTGGGGGATGTAAGTTGAGGCATCAAATTATAATCAAGCCCCGAGCAAAGCCACTCTGCTAATATTATAAACCTATGTCCTTGAATTTAAAGAAGAAGATGAAAATATGGACAAGACTTTTCTTATTTTCAGGATGATAACTGAATATTTCTTTTTACAAACTCAAGACATAAAGAAGGGTCAGTTACGTCATGCTTGAAGTCTTTCCCCACGTGGTCGTCTCACACCAGCAGAACCAGACAGGGAAAATCATTCAACGGGGCAACTGAGTGCAAAGACACCCTGCTGGGAAAATAAATGTATGAAGCTCCTTATTGCACTTATTTGCAGCTCACCAGGACTGCTGGATGACATCATTGGGCCAAACCAGGCGGCACATGTGCCCTGTGCTGTTGTTGAGGCGGGTGAAGGGCTTCAGGGTGCTAGAGATGGGGTAAGGCAGCATCAGGATGAAGGATACCACCCAGGTAGCAGTGATGACCTTCGCAGCGTGGGATTTGGTCTGCCACGTCCTGGAGGTCAGTGGGTTGCAAATGGCGCTGTAGCGCTCCAGAGAGATGGCCACCAGGTTAAATGTAGAAACACTTACCGAGACACCTGCACAGATCAGAAAATCCAAACATAGATTATAGGCAATATGTCAGTGTTGAGATCTGATTGGCTAAGACATGTGAAGTATACAGGCTTCAATAACTCACAAACAAGAAAATAGTTCATGTTAAACATTTAAACCAAATCATCATAAATAATTTCACATATTTAACACAAACACCATAGATACTTTTTTGTTAATTCCTTGAAGAGAGTTAGAAGAAAATATTGATATGACTCTCATTTCTGCACAGTAAATAAGAATGTACAGCCAGGAGATAGTTAGCTTAGCTTAGCATAACAAATGAAAACTAGGAGAGAAGCAAGTCTAGCTCCGAAGATGAAAAATTACACAGGAACAGGAAGTAACTGGATCCCTTGCAGTAGCTTCATAATAATCAAAAACACATGTTAATGTGTTTACTAAACGGCTATGGTACATTAATGTCTGGTCACATCAAATGTAACTGCTGAGCAGTGACAGCATCCTGTGCTGCAGGTTACTGAATCAGCCTAAACACAGACAGTAAAAAAAACAAGAAGAGCTAAAAATACAAACGATCACATCACGCAATCTGAGACGAGGGACACATAAACAGATAAACGTATGAACAAATGAGGTAATTATACTGGATGACAGCGCTCTGATCTCACTGAGCAGTTAAAATGAGCAACAGGAAGTGCTAAGAACATTGAAAATCAGATTTCCTGGCGGAGTTGTTATTAGATGAAAATCTAATATTGATAAAAGAGTATCATCTGTATGACTACATAGTAGAGCTTATTACAAAGCTCCGAGCAGAACCAGAGGATTTTTTTCTAAAAAAAAAAAACCCTTGTAAAACATTATATTATGATTTGGTATACAAATTGACAACTGCAATGGGCATCATTTTTTTAAAGTTTTGAAGCAGATCATGAATTGTTTTTATTCGTAATAAGTTGTCTTACATTCAGCATCTTTGTCTAGATGGCCTGCAGAAAAGCTTTTAGATTAAGGGTTGAAATGCTAATATTTTTCTGTTACCATTTGCCCTTAACACAGTTTTATTACACGGATTAAAAGTCCCATATTATGCTTTTTCTGGTTTTATATGCTCTTTAGTGTGTTTTCCTGTGGGGTATGACCGTGACCTGTAGGCACATCTATGTGCAAAAATTCAAAGTCTGCGTAAACGCGGCTTCTCCACGTCCTCCTGTTAGCTGTAGCATTAGCCGCATGTAACGCTCGGTTCTAGCCCCCCTCAAAACAAATTGTCAGTGTGACGTCTTGTCAGTGTGATATCACTGATCTAAGCCCATTGGCTCGTTGTGGCAAGCCCAGCAGCTCATGTTGCACGCCCGTTAACTTCTGTAGCACGCCCACGATATGCCGCAGATATTCCGAGCACAGTAGTGCTAAGGTGCTAATGTTTATGCTCCTCTCAGAGCCAAAGTGGCTGCATTCCCAATATGGTAAAAGGGGCGTGACATTTCCGAGAACCGTGCTGAGTGACTGACCAATTAGGGCAGAGCCGACACGCCGACCAATCAGATCAGACTTGGCACACGTGGGGACTCTGAACGTGGGCACTTCAGAGCCTTAGAGAGAGAGTCAGAAGCGAGCCGGTGCATGGAGCAGCAGTTCATGAAAACAGACACTTTTTTAGAACTTTAGCTATTGTGAACATACAAAAGTAGGTACATAGATTAAATATACGAACCCCAAAAAGGGCATAATATGGGCTCTTTAAAAAAACACACAACATCTATCCATTTGGCTGCACCAAAACTTCAACATACCGTATATGCAAATGTTTTCATCTTGAGAGTTAAACTACTACACAAGATACCTCCAACATAAATTTGCTTTTATCAGTATGTTTTATATGTGAGGATATAAAGAAAGAGTGACAACATGAAAAAAAAATCAGCTAAATGGTAAATGGACTTGAGCTTGTGTATTGCTTTTCTAGTCTTCTGACTACTCAAAGCGTCACACCTACCCGTTCTCACCCTGATGGCAGAGGTTGCTATGTAGTGAGACCATCAGAATGAACTAATCCCATACATATGCATTCATACACTGACGACGCAGCGGGGGATAAGGGTTAAGTGTCTTGACCAAGGACACATCGGACATGTGTCTGCAGGAGCTGGGGATCTAACCAGAGACGATGACGAGCTCAAGACTATAGATTAATATCCTGAATCTCTCACATATTATTATTTTTTTTTTATCAAAAGAAATGCTTAAAAAAACTACAACAACAACAACAACAACCCCCGTAAACTACCTCCAAAACTTCAAATAGCTTCGAAGCTTATAGGGAATAACATAGAAGCTGGTTGAGACCAAAAACAAAGCAAAAAAAAAAAAAGTCTAAAAGAGAATACTACATTTCCCCAGAAACAACGACTGCAACTGCTTGCTAGTTGGCCATATAAAGATTCAATCGTTTGTTGTTTTCAGAATGTAATTGGTCAGAAAAATAAAGTTAATGCAGATAACTGTTAATCACTTTCACCACATTTTTGTATGCATGTTGGACCTAATTGGATTGTGTGTATCGCTTTAGAAATCTGCACACAAGTTTGACTGTACAGCGAAAAAAAACAAAAAAAAAACCACACAAGTCAAGGGAAAACAGCACATATTTTTCTGGAGGGGCCTTTATACTCCTCATTATGGTTCCATCTGATTTGGAATAAATTGCATTCTTTGTTCGTTAGCTATGCCAATGATGAATAAATATGGAAGTATTTCTGAATTGATACATCCTGGAATAATACATGGACACAACGGACTATGGGTTGCACAAAAATAGGAAACAAAGTCAACTGTGAAAAAATTTAACTGTTGCAATAAATTTGGCCTCAGGTACAACGACGCGTTCTGACAACACATGTTTCCTCTGACCTGAGTGGTTTATTTTTAGCTCAGGCTCATTAAACCACAGGAGCATTTGGACACGCAGTGATATGCATCTTAAGCACAACATGGCCTGAAATGACTTGAATGTTGCTTCTCTATTTCAGTGCAATTATAATCACACAAAAAAAACAACAATTGTCCAGCTGATTTATTTTCTTCTGAAATGAGCATGACATCAACCACAAGAGAGCCATAAAAGGGTTTCAGTGAAGCATCAGTGAAACATTTTTACATACTTACGTCACGCTTTAATTGCAAAATTGGAAAGAAATGTGGCCTGCTTTCAACTGATTTCATGTTCCTTTATAAAGTTGACCACAATCAGCTTTGAGGGATAATGATGAATTCAGGAATCAGTCAACAAAATGGTCAAATTTGGGGGTTGGTTAAGGCTGATGTGGGACCAATGTATTTTAACTGAAAGACCCCTGAACGCCCATATGATGAATAATCCTTAAATTCGCCTCACCCATGAAGTACATGACCAGCTTGCAGATCCCGGTGCCAAAGATGAAGTCCCTCATGAGGTTGGGGATGAGGGTGAAGGGGATGCAGACCAGGGACACCATCAGGTCGCTGACGGACAGGGACAGCAGGAACAGGTTGGTGACGGTCCTCATGCGCCTGTTCCTCACCAGGACGGCGACGATGAGGCTGTTGCCCAGGACGCTGAGGAGAAAGATGAGGCTGTAGAGGACGATCCGAACCGTCTGGTTGATATCTGAGAGCAGATTAAACAGGGTAGCAGTGGGGGGGGGGAAGACTCTTGGTATGTTAATCTGTAAATGTGTCCTATGTTGACCCGTGTTCTCACATAAAATTGAACTCTTCTGCAAAATATCTCCAATATTACCAAATAATTGACAAAATGCAAGTTGAATCTCTTATGTTGCCACAATGAAATATCTGAATTCTTACGTTCTTTCTTTTAGATTTAAACTAAACAAATGCGCAAAAATGTGTTCTCTATTAATTCTCTATCCTGTTGCCATAAATTGCGTAATGGCACTTTTTTTTCTCATGACATTGGCAGACCGAGGGTGCAGTGACAACATATGTGTCACCACTAACATAACACTGCATTAGCCTTCTGGAGGACTTGGGCCATGTGCGTAATGCGCACTGACACACAAAGAATGCCCAAAGCAGTGGCTCTTTTCTTTTATTTGCATAAACTGAAGATAAATGGTTTGATTAGGAACACGGTCTACGCCTATATCATCGTATTTAAACACACCGATCTACTATAAGAAAAATATATTTGATAGCATTCGCTGGTGATGTAAAATAAATTGATTCACTGTACCTTTAGGCTCTGGTGAAGGGTCCTGCTCGCTCTCGCACTCCGAAACATTCCTGATGCCCAAATGACATAAAATCTTGTTTAGGTCAGTTGAATTGAAGATATCAGGCGGCGTGAAGGTCTCCATTTCTTTCCCTTTGCTACAGACTCAAGTGCAGTAAGGCATACGGGGAGAATTGGGCATCATACTCTTGTGAGAGAGAAAAATACTCCAACTTGAGAGTGGATGGATGTTATTTAAATATTCCTCCTCTGTCGGTTAAGGACAAATAATTCAAAGTATTCTCTAGTGTCTGTGCCGCTCTCAGGCTGTTTGTCTGGTGCGGTGCGCTCTTCTCGTGCCTAACATTTCTGCTGACAACATGTGGACGGGTCGCATTCTTGAGCGCTCAGCCCGCCTTTAGATTATGTGGAAGTCCCCCCCTCCACCCTCCCCCATCCCATCCATTTTCTTCCTTTGCATGCTGTAGTTGACTTTAATATGCATACCTGACTCATGCATAATATACTTAAAGGTGAATCATAACATTGAGGTGCATAACCAACACTTTGGTGCACATCAAACTTTCCGGTGCATAGCTGATGTCATGAAGGTGCATTAGTGACATTAAGGTGCTAAACTGCATTAAGGTTCACTACTGACTCTGAGATTCAAGTCAACCAGCTTTATGTCACATAACTGAAATTTAAGGTGCACAATGACTTAAGTTTGCATCATTGACTTTTAGGTGCTAAAAAGACATTAAGGTGCATTACTGACATTAAAGTGCTACACATTAAGGGGCATGAAGGCATTTGGTGCATAACTAATATAAATATATATTCAGGTGAATATCAAACCTTAAGGTGCATTATTTCACTTTAAGGTGCATAAACTTACATTGAATAGTTTTTAAATGTCAGATGATCATTTTAGCAGCAAAAGCCTCCGTTTTCAGTTCTGTATTACTGTAGGCTATGTTTCCATGTCCACCAATCCCCCTGACCCACTTCAGAGCATGATATCGCCTGCTGTGGCATCTCATGTCAGCACGTCAGCAGCGATATGGAGTCTCGTTGACTCTGCTGTAATTGTTCTGATGGGGGAAGAGATGGGCTCTATTTAGTGCCCAAAACAATGTCAACATTGATACTTGGGAGTCAGCCACATGTCATGCATCAGTGACTTTTACAGGGTCAGATAAGTTATGGAAGGTGGTAAATTCAAAGGCTTTGTGTGACTAATTTTAATCAATCAAACAAAATAAATTAGTGGCAAACATAAACAAATACAATCTAGCAACAAAATATAAAACAAAACAATCTCAGTTAAAGTGTATTCTAAACAAAAGTATGAGAAAACACTTATTACTTGACTTAACGCCTTTTACAACAGAAATACATTCGGTGCCTTTGCCTCGAGTCGAAATCTCTTTGATGAATACCTGTTTTTTAAATCTCTTAACCTACCCTTAACATTAGGTTAAGTATTGGGATATTTCCTTTTGAGGCCAAATACAAAAATGTAAAAAGGTCTTTTGATTTTTCATACAGGGTAATAAATAATCAGGTCGTGGAAGAGTTAACTTGAGTCTTTCCTAACATGCTACCAGAAAACAAAACCATGATTTAAAATCTCACTAAAGCAGAAATAGTCCATGTATTCAACAGCATGTCAGCAGAGTATTGTAGGTTCAACTATCATTCTGCAGAAGAAAAAACAATTTATGAGCTTATCTTATGTAGCCTAATCATTATTGTAATAAAGATTTTCTTTAGTCTGATGGGGGGGGCTATATTGAATATATATATATATATTGGCTTTATTAATAAATAATGCATATCGTACATCAAATGATAATGTTAGGAAGTTTTAACTATTAGAATATTTATTTTATTTTATTTATTTTATTTATTTTATTTATTTTATTTATTTTAGTAGATTATTTAAGACAAATAAATCAACCAAACAAATCGAATTACACAATTTCAAAACAAAATGAAATATAAACACATATACAGTAACCTATACACGTGTTCATACACACACACACTTAGACACATACATACAATAATATTGACTTTAATCTCATAATAGGCCTAAATACAAGGATTCTTAAGATATCAGATGAATGTATTATAGTAAGAATACAAAAAAAAAACTATTTTTAGACGTATGTTTACAGTAGAGAATAAATATTGATGATTTTCACTGACAAAAACAAACTTGTAATTTTCTGGTAAACGTGAAGTAAATGTCCCCCCCCGGAACCAAAGCATCCCGTCCTTGTTTCCCCTGCGCCTCTCTGTTGCTAGGTAACCTCTGCAGGGGGGCGGCTGCCGCATCATCCGGTGCTGCTGGAGCTCATACAATCCAACGGAGCCGTTTGACGCTCATATCTTAAACGTGTTTGAACGAGGAAGATGGACGGGGGCACCGAGTTATCTCTGACCATCGCTCACATCGTGCAGCGGCTCAAAGGAAGTCATTTACACTCTCAGATAGAGAGGCAAGCCAAAGTGAGTAAAGGATGTTAGCATGACGGCTAACGATGCGGAGTGCAGCAGGTCCGCAGTCTGTATCAAGAGTGTCGTGTTTCACATTTATTATCATGTGAAAATACAGCACGCAAGCAACGTCCTTCAATACATGTCAAACATTATCGTATCGTCTCCCGTTGTGTCTTTCCAGGACTGTTTACATCAACCTGAGATTAAATTGGAGTCCCTCAAAGATGACGTACGCAGCTTTCTGAAAACATCAGGTGGGCTTGTCTTCATTTATGACTCTGAATCACACATACAGGGTTAGCTCAGTATTTATTAATATTTATATATATATATATATATATATATATATATACGTTATTTTCATTTGTTATGTATATAAACATTTTAAATCTTTTTTATAGGCTGGGAAAGACAGCTACAGAATGCTGTGTACAGAGAACTACACGTGTAAGTTACATTCAATACACAGCAGGAAGACCCAGGTTATCTGCTTCTGTTTGTTCTCAATTGAGGCTTACCACACTGGCAAATGTTAGTTATAATATATGAAATTGTAAAATCAGTTCATTTAGATTGCCAAAATATGCAAATAGTCTCCTAAATGTTCTCTGTAATCGGTTAAGTCAGTAAATAAGAATCAGAAAGGGCGCAGTTGACTCCTGTATCATTTGTGTGGGGACCTTGTTAGGCATAGAGCTCTGTTTGTGCTCTGTGTTTGTATTACACTGTGTTTATGTCTCGTACTGTGAAGCACTTTTCTTGATATTTTATTATCTCATACGTCATAGAAACGACAGGTGTCACAGACTTGGCCGTGTAATAACACCGTACAGTTTGTGATAGTGAGATTGCCTTTAAATGGGGATTCTTAAATAAAAAATCTTATTCACTTTTTCATTTAGTAGAATTGGCTTCATTTGTTTTTCTTAATTTTTTTGACAATAAATATTAGACTTGGGGCGATGGAGAAGTTGTCTTATCATGAAACACATATCACAACTTAAGATAATGCTGATTTGTGTTCCCATTAGTTCCTTTCTGTCTGTTTAATCAGAATCATCTAACTGATGAGCCGGAAAAACTCTTTGAACGTGAATACTCAGCTTTGGAAGGTGTTCCTTTGGGGCTAACACACTCACTGCTCTCACGAGGCTCCGACTGAAACACAGGATGCTTCAGGATTTGCTTTTAAAGGATGACATATAACACTGACTAGTACCTTCTTTGCCATTAGTCAGCTCTATGAGCTCTTTATAGGTGTTTAGATTAAGCTGAATATCTTTTGACGCACTGAGACCTTGAGTCATTCGGTTTGCCTCACACATGCTTAGTGGAGATAAAGACAGGAGATCATGCTGTTCCAGCTCTTTTAGTTCAGTCCCTCAAATCTGTTGGAAGTATTTTTAGGTTTGTCCTGTACTTCCTCAATCCCCTCACTCTTGTGTTTGCTTATTCTAGCCAGCTGCCCCCGAGCCATCCCATGGCTCCTCCAGAGCATCTCAAAGAGCCACTGGCCTACATGCGCAAGGCGCAGGTCAGTGTGTCTACTCTGATCTCCATCACTTCTCCATTCTTCTTCTTCCTCACATAGTAGCCTCTGTTATTTTAATCACCTTAGTGCATCGCATCTGAAGCCAAGTGATTCTATCTGCATGTGTTCTCTGACACAGGCCAGCTGGGAGAAGCGTGTCCTCAAAAGCCTGAACAGCATGAGCACAGAGCTCGAAGTGCCTCTGGCTCGCATGGTAAATACAGTCAATAAGGACCGATGTAGCGTAGTTAGAAAAGCCTTTCATTCAGATTATCTGCTGCAAACGCCTCTTGTTATGTTACGGTATTTCATTAGCATAGTTTTTGCAGAAGGCAACTTATAAATACTGTTATTATCATATGAACCCAAAGCTAACTGAGCTGTGGCTAAGTTTGACAAGTAGCCACGAGCTATTCTAGCACTGCTTAGATCAAATTAACCATAATTCCACACCTATAGACTCAGGCTCTTTGGTTCTGTTTAAGCTTTATGCTTTGTTATTAATCCTTTATTTCCACCCCCAGAGGTCGGCAGCGGAGCAGAAAGAACTCGCCAACAAATGGAACGAGATGGGCACAGATGATCCAGGTCTCTAGACATTACCCTGGGGTTAGGCCCCAAGTGTTCTGCCTTTTACAAGAGATTAGTGTTGACTCAGACACTGGTGTATTTTATATCTGCTTAACACATACAAGTTCTACCTCTGTTTTCTTTCCTTTTTTAGTCTGTATCTAGATCATTTCCCTACAGGGACTAGGCCGCTACTTCTTCAAAGTATAAAAGTGATGTTTTTAGATGTATACTGTGAGTTCACGTTGTCACAGGTAGGCTTTAAAGCACAAAAACAATACCAGCCTGCTACCACTGACTGTTTTCTTTTCTGCAGAAAACCAATGCAGTTAAGCATTTTCAACACTCAGTTTCCTCAATGCTAACGCTCCTTGGGCGTCCCTCTGTTGAAGATAGTTCTACTTTCGGTAATTTCCCGATCTAGAGCTGCTACAAATGCTAGGACAACATCCCTTCCCATTGCTTTTATGCTTTCTGTGTGAAATTACCTTGAATAAAAGCAACTAGAGCAATTTAAAACGTTCTTTAACGGTCACTGACAAGAATGAATAGATACCAAACACTCCTCTTGAGAATTTTAAATATTACCCATCCATCCTCTCCACCTCAAGTTAATGCTAAAATGACATTATAGCATTAATCGCTTCTGTTGTCGGCTGACAATAAACCAACCATTTGGACTTTAAGAACCCGCTAACCTTTTGTCCTAACAATGCTATCAGCCTCAGAAGCGAATAAAAACATTCAGAACGTGCCGTCCCCCGGCTGTAAACACTTTGGACTGTGAATATAGAAGCTGTCCAG